AATTGAGATATATTGATTGAATAATGCAGTCATGCACCAAACATGATTTCTCAACCCTTTCAATTTTTGATATCTTTGATATTACATCAGGTTTGTGTGGCAGTTTTTTTTAAGAACATTTTTTTAAATCACTGAGTGAAATATAAATGCCTGTTCAAATATTAAATGTGGTAGGTGTTTGTTGCTTAAACTTGAACTCCAAGTAGGCACCCACATACACAGTTGAAATATGATGTTGCAATACCTCCTGAGGATTAGTAATTGTGTTTCTGATCCAGACAGCATAGGCAGGTTGATGACCTCCCTTTTTTTCTCCTGTAGTTGAGCTGTATGTCACTAACCTGCCCCCAGCCCAGGCTCTCCCAGTTTAAATACTGATGTGCATGGGATAACAGGAAATGGATAGATTCAGGTATTAAAGTGCTACTAAACCCAGGACCCTGCATTCACTATATCTGGTCTCCCACAGTACACAGAACATGGAAATGCAATTATTTTAGTAAATACAAATGCTAAATAGCTTTTCTCATCAGCAGTTAGAGCCGTCTTGTGACTTCTATCAGTGTCCAGTAGAGCATATGTTAAAGCTTGTAGGAGGAGTTTTCAATTTGCTCTAGGAGGATACAAAACCCCTGATCTCTGTCTGGACTGTGCTGATTGGCCGTGTGCTGATCACATGCACTCTCCCAAGAAAAAAAAAAACCTCTCTAGTAATACACACCAAACTATGCATTTGCAGAGTGACGCCACACGATATGTCTTATCAGGAGATAAGAGGGGGACACTGGAAGAAGGGGAGGATCAGAGATTTCAGGATCAAACAGCATTTTTACAAATGCAGATCAACCTCTTAGGTTCCACATTGAGTATAACAAGCATTCTTTTACTGCATATAAAGACTGATTTTACTGTTGTGGGTTTAGTAATACTTTAAAGCTAGTCTATGTAAAACACATTTTTTATTTTTTAATGCGTAAATGTATTCATGAGTAAACTGATGTTTCTGTATATCTGTCTAGAGTTACAGTTGAAATCCAGACACAAACTAATGCAGATTTGTAATCATGAATAAATACAATCAAATGCATAGAAATGTTTTTAATTATAAGACATGTAAGTACCATAATTGTATGCAGTACAGGTGATTACAAGAGGCTGATATCATGTCAAATTTAGTGATTTACACTGCATGCATTCAAAAATACATTTAACAATGTATTAATTATTACAGAGATGCATTAATTTGTGTCAGCTTTAAAATAAATAGTAAACCCCCTTACTGAAAAAAAATGAAAAAGAGGGCTTAGTACATCTTGGAATTCTGTAGTCTTGTTCTTCCTATGGTTGATCCAGTGCTGGGACACTAGGTCATCTAGAACCCAAGGTGAAATTGCAAGATGTATGAGCATTATACATCAGCAAGCCCCCCCCCCCCTCTGCATGCTTACCCTCTAAGTATTCCCCTTCTCCCAGTACAAATCTGCCCCCCCCTGCTGAAATCCCACCTCTCAGCACAAATCTTTGCCCCCTATCCTCCCCCCCCCCCCCAGCTCAAATGCTCTCTCTCCCCATATGTCCCGAGCACAAATTTCCTCCTCCTAGCACAAATTCCCTACCCCTCAAATTTCTTCTCCAAGCACAAATCCCCCCCCCATTCCAAATCCTCTCCCCTTCCAGCACAACTTCCCCTCCCAAATCCCCCATCCTAGCAAATCCCCCACAAACATCCCTACTAGCACAAATCCCCCCCAAAGAAAGACATTCCCCTCTTCGCACAAATCCCCTCCCCCCCCATTGCACCTTTTTAACACAGCCCCCCCCCCCCAAATCCCCCCTTCTAGCACAAGTTCTCTTCCCCCATCCCCATCCCAACTCAAATTCCCCCAAATCGCCACTCCTAGCACACCTCCCCAAGTTTCCCCTTCTAAACAATTCTTACTCCCTGTCACCCCTCAAATTCCCCTTCTCAACACAAATCTCCTCCCCACAACCTTCTTGTGGTGCCCCCTACCTCACATGATACAACAGTGCCCAGGGCAGCTGCCCCTCCTGCTGACCCTTTGTCCTGGCCCTGGGTTGATCCTATGAATTTCTTTAAGACTTTTGATATCCTCATTTTTCAGTGCAGGTAGAACAGTATTCTTATCAAATCACACAAAATACAAATTAAAAAATCCTGAAGACTACGGTACTATGAAATGAAAAATAATGCCAAGTGTACAAAGATGGATAGCTTAGGTAGCTGTTTCTGTATACAGTAGTAGATACAACCCATCTTTGTATATTATTGTGTACAATGTATTTTTCTTTGTGTTTTTAAGACTGGATTTAATAAAATACATTTCTTTTATTGTAATATTTTGGTGCTTACAAAGTCCCTGTTTTCTAAAAATGTATGTCTAGCCTTGTTCTTTGGAAAATACTTGTAAATTTAACTTATTACCAAGGTATTGTTGTAAGGCCCAATGTTCTAAAAAGGTTCTGACTGCTTAACAGCTTCCCGACCGCCCTATAGCAGAAATACTGCTACAGGGTGGCACGGGTGCGCAAAATCACATATATATATGTGATTTTGCATTTCCGGGTAGGGGGTATGCGCAAGACACTCGCACGCCTTACCCATGCCGCCATTCACTGCCATGGCTGTCAATCACTGGGTCCCGGCCAGTGATTACTTGCCGGCGCCTGGTGATTACTGAGGATCTCCGACAGGGAGGAGAACTGTGTTGTTTACTAACAGTTCTCCTCCCTGTCAGCTCAGGCGCCCTGCTTTGGATGGCTGTGCACAGCCCTGCCATCCAAAGCAGTGTGCTTACAGTGAAGCCCCACAGTAAAACACACCCAGCACACAGTTAACCCTTTGATCACCCCCTCATGTAAACTCCTTCCTGCCCAGTGCCATTAGTACAGTGTCAGTGCTTTTTTTTTTAGCACTGATTACTGTATTGGTGTCACTGGGGATGTCAGTGACATCAACTCAGTTCTCCTAGTGTCAGAATGTCTGCTGCAGTCCCCGTAATAAGTCGCTGATCGCCGCCATTACTAGTAAAAAAAAAATCCCAGTATATATAGCGCCATTTGTAAATGCTATAACTTTCTCATAAACCAATTCATTTACACATATTGGGAATTTTTAGTAAAGACATGTAGCAGAATACATTTTGACCTAAATTTATGACGAAATTCGATATTTAAAATTTTTTTACTGGACATGCTTAATAACAAAAAGTCAAAAATATTGTTTGCTTCTCAAAATTGTTGGTCTTTATTTTATAGTGCAAAAAATACAAATGCACCGGCAATCAAATACCACTTAAAGAAAGCTCAATTTGTGGGAAAAAAAAGGCCGTAAATGTAATTTGGGTGCAGCGTTGCATGACCGCGCAACTGTCAGTTAAAGTAACGCAGCGCAGTAACGCAAAAAAATGGCCTGGCCAGGAAGGGGGGTAAATCCTATGGAGGGCAAGTGGTTAAAGGGTCAGTCCACCCAACTAAAGTTTCAGGGCCTTGGGTTTAGTGCTCTTGGTTTTCCATGCAAGTCTTTTGGTTCTGAAAACAAAACAAAATCAGCATTTTTTCTTCAAACTTAAATTGAACCTGTGCACACTATATGCACATTAATGTATTAACATATTCCAAACAAATTGTAAAATCACTTTAAAGCAAGCCTTTATTTTCCTTTGCAGGTATAGTGGATAAAATAATTTTCACAACAGAGGCACTGAAATCACAATTCCCTTCTGCTTTACTTACCATGGAAGCAGGATCTTGGCAGCCTGCCTGTCCATGAGCTGGGTTATTCTAATAAAAATGCTCAGCCAGTAATGCTAAGCTTTAAGAAACCATCTAAAATCCAACAAGATACTGCAAAACATCTGTAAATCTTCTAGCCTTAATTTTTTCATGTGCTGAATTGTGTTCTCCTTTCTTAGGTTGAAATTGGCCATTGAAAACTCTGAAATCCTTTAACCTACTAATACAGTATATCCTTTCCAGCTATGAAAGGAAACTTACAAATCCAGAATAAGTGGACAACATAGAAGGTCCATAGATATAGTGTCCCAGGAGGTAGTTAAATCCAGGACCCCAACATGCCCAAGCTGCCTGACTGCTTTAAAATGGTTGTAAACGTCAGACATGAAATATGAACAAAGCATATCCCTCTATAGTGTGTACTTGTGTCAATTAAGAGCACTAAGCGTTATTTCTGTCTGCTGCCTCATTCCTCTGCTATCAGCATGGCTCACATCTGACAAGTTTTCCTGACACCAAGTGAAAAATGGTCACAGTGGTGGTGGTGGTTGTGGGGGGGTTCATCTGATTGACACCCTTAGCTCTATTCTTGTGTGCTGTGCAGAGGGGTGTGTGTCCCTTCCCTCCAATCAGCTGTCAGAGCTCTCCCCACTGAGCTCTGCAGAGTGTAAATTTCAGCACTCTGCACCCTTATTTCTGACAGTTGTATAAATTCTGCACTATGAAGGGCTGTAGAGGAAAGAGGGCTGCAGATAAACAGGTACAACTTATGTAGGAGATTTTGTTTCATCTCTGTATCACCTGAAGCCAGTTACTTCACTGGGTATATGTAAGGGTTTACAGTCACTGTAAATCACCCTTTTCCAGTGTTTGCATTCAAATCATAAATTACCTGCATGCACATTAAGATTGTTTTACAAATCAACATGAAGTGTGCTTACATTAAAGCATAACTCCAGATTTCATTTTACTTTAATTAGCTTGCCCCAAATGAACTAAAGAGAAAAGAAATCTGGCGTTATGCATTAAAACTGAACTACACAACATTGTTTTAAGTTGTAATTGTTTTATGTCTATAAGAACTCAAGATAGTTACACACAGGGGTTCATTTACTAAAACTGAAGAGTGTAAAATCTGGTGCAGCTCTGCACAGAAACCAATCAGCTTCCAGATTTTTTTGTTAAAGCTTATTATTATTTATTACTTATTATTATTATTATTATTATACAGGATTTATAGTATATAGCGCCAACAGTATGCACCAGGGGCGGACTGACAACTCATGGGGCCCCCGGGCAATAGGGGATCATGGGGCCCCTGTGTCCTTGCCCAAACTCAAAAAAGCCTATGAAAAAGGTACCAGGGGCATCTCATGGGGCCCCCTACTGACCCCGGGCCCTCGGGCAGTGCCCGAGTTTCCAACTGGTCAGTCCGCCCCTGGTATGCACAGCGCTTTACAATATAAAGGGAGACAGTACAATTACAATACAATAAAAAATAAGAGGAATAAGAGGGCCCTGCTCATAAGAGCTTACAATCTAATATCCCAACCATGGCACCACCTGCCTGGAGTTTGCATGTTCTCCCTGTGCCTGTGTGGGTTTCCTCTGGGTACTCCGGTTTCCTCCCACACTCCAAAGACATGCTGGTTGGGTAATTGGTTCCTGTCTAAATTGTCCCTAGTATGTGTATGTATGAATGTAAGTTAGGGACCTTAGATTGTACTCCCCTTGAGGGTTAGGGACAGATATGAATGTACAATATATATGTAAAGTGCTGTGTAAATTGATTGCGCTATATAAGTACCTGAAATAAATAAATAATAGAGTAAGAAGCTGACTGGCTACCATGCACAGCTGCACCAGATTTTGCACTCTCCAGTTTTAGTAAATCATTCCCACAGTGTCAACATACTGCATGACATAAATGTTTAAATAATATTCTATTATTTAAGCAGTGTGTAAGTGAACATTTTTACAATAGTTTTTCAAAAAATCATTTGACAAAATAAAACAACATGCACAAATATCTGTTTTTTTGTGGACACCTGTAGAATAACATCACATAATATTACAATTTGCATAATAATATAAAATAATATTACAATGATTACATATAAATACATTTTACAAAAAAAAATCCCTATTAAAATGAATGTATTCCTTGAACAATTTTAGGGCTCCCATTCATTTTATCAATCATATGCACAGTAAGCGTAGGAGCATTTCATCAAATTAGGAAAAGTTTGATAAATATAGTAAATTTTTGTGGTCAGCTCAAGATTTTACACTGCAGGCTAGGAGCAGAGTACAATCCAAATATATGTTTTTACACATATGCTGCACATTTTGCGAAAGGATGTTATCTTGGGGGTAGATTTACTAAAACTGGAGCACTCAGACTCTGGTGCAGCTGTGCATCTTCTCATTTCAACTTGTGCAATTAAGCTTTGGCAATAAAATCTGGACGCTGATTGGTTTTCTACTCAGAGTTGTACCAGATTTTGCACTTTCCAGTTTTAGTAAATCAACTCCCATGTGTCTACAAAATTGTATTTCTATACTACTGTACTACAATGATTCATTTTTAATTGGCATTGTTATTTTACATCTCTGCTAATATATTTCTCCTACGCTAGAAAAATCGAGACACTAATTAGGATTGTCAGCCCATAAGTATTAGTTGCAAAGCAGATTATTAAATGATTATAGTTTAGATAGACAAGTAAAGTATCCCTTTACATTTACTTTAAACCTAATTCACCTTCTTTGTGATCAGAAATGATCTCGCCACACTTACCTCTTTGGTTCAGGATTGTGATGCCTGGTTCCCAGACTCTGTGGACATCAGACACAGGCTCCCAGTGTCATTCCTCTGGGTAAATGACAGATAAGAAAGCATTGACTCTATACTAGGTAACACATGGTGCACTGTAAGTGATAGAGATCACTGTCTGCTCTGACATCTCCCTCCCCCAGTGAAGCCTATGCCTGGGAGGTGGCAGCCCTGGGTGAGGCAGGACATTACTGTCACCCATGGGAGAAAGTGTATGAGACATTTGGTGGGACTGATGCAAGCAGAGAAGCCTTGTCTTGCTGCTGGATTATATTACACATGTCACTAGAAGCAAGCATGACTCTAGCTGGTATTACCTAAAGCCCTTCAGTTTGAACACACATAGCAATTTACATCCGTTTATTACTACTTACAAATATTAATGTTAGCCTTTTAATAAAATCAGTAACCCTATTCTACTGCAATTATATATTTGTAAGTTTTAAAATAGCTAATCATATATATTTTTTTAATTATCTCTATGAAGGTGGTAAAAATTATTACGATTAATAGCGCACATCTGTATTTATGGTCTGCTATGTGAAAGAGATTATAAATCTGCTCTACACAGCAAACATTCTTTTTTGGAGAAAAGGGACAACACACAAATTATTTGTAGTTTATTATATATCAGAAGGCATATTAATATTTTTTTTCTGTCTCATCAAATATGTGTTCACTTCAACTATCCAGTCATGTGCTCAGTAAATGTATTTTTTATTCTATTTTATTTTATTTATTTATTTTTTATTTTATTTGAACTACGAGATGAAAATTTTGTAAATACAGAGGCAAGTGTTTGTTAATATTTGCATGTTAATATTTTTTTATCTATCTCATCAAATATGTCTCAACTATCCAATCATGTGCTGGCTAAATGTATTTGCTATTTAATTTTATTTTCTTTGTAAAAAGTGTTATTGAAACGCTGAACAATATAAACAACTGATCGCTCGCGCAGGGGTGCCATATAATAGACACCCGATGAGTAATTAAGCAGGCAATGATCAAACATTTGAAAAACATTATTAGCAATATAGAGCCGCCCAGAGGTCAAAGCTCTATCGCAGCTTTTATGGATCAGGAATAATGCCCGAGTGATCAAACAGTATGTTCTAGCAAAAAAATTAACAATAGCGTTTCAGTTAACCGGAGGAAAGAGGTAGACAAGGATTCAGAGAACAAAAAAGAGAAAAGAGAAGAGAAATTGACAATCAGAAAGCAAGAAAAAGGAAAAAAGAAAATTTTCTCCTGCAGGCCTGAAAAAAACAGCAAAGCTAGAGAGTCCCCAAACCCAATGGAGATAGACTGGGGAACTCATAAGTCCACCAAGGACACCAGATCTTCAAGAATTTAGTGTGGGTATCATCAACAATACTGGTAATTTTTTCATGTAACATCAGGGTGGTCAGAGTAGGCGTAACCTTACAGAAAGGGACAGAGGGTGATCTCCAAGCCTTGACAATACCCCATTAGCAGCTATAAAGACGTAAGTGGCAAGCTTCTGCTGGTGCGCAAACAGGCCCGTAACTGGGTAGTGAAGTAATGCTGCTTTCACGTCTTTTGGAATGGAAACATGGAAAATGGAATATAGTAGGCCAAAAACTCTGGACCAGAACCCAACTAGACGAGGACATGACCACCAAATGTGAAGTACATCCCCACATATTCCACAGCCACAAAAGCATCTGTTTGAAAAGTTGGGATTGGCACAAGCAATGCGAGCAGGCACCCAATACCAACGCAATAAAACTTTATAAGCAGCCTCCATAGTCACCATATCGAAAGAGCAACGGAATATAATCAATCATGTTTTACTCCATTCAGCTGGGTCTATAGATGCTCCCAAGTCCCTCTCCCAACATGAAACATAAGACAGAGGCGAAGAAGAAGCTGAATTAAGAGCAGAGTAGAGAAGAGAGATAGTGCCTGGGGACCCCGGAGACGTCCGACAGAGATGTTCAAATGCCGATGACCTATAAGGGAACTTGGAGGTCCGTCTAAGAGAAGATACCCAATGGTGCAGCTGAAGGTAGCGATAAAATTCAGTCTGAGGGGCTATTTTATTTTAATTATATTCTATTCTTTTATTTTATTTGAACTACGAGATGAATATTCTGTAAATACAGAGGCAAGTGTACCTTTACTTGAATCTTTTTTCCAAACCTGTGTAGTAATCCAATGTTAAAGTAAAACTAAAGGCAATACTTTTTAAAACAAATTTGGATGGAGTAAGTTAGGGTTATAACCCCTGTTAGTTTTTTTCATCCGATTGGGAAGATTTCCCTTCAGTTCCTCTCCCATAGCCAAAACAGGAAGTGAGAAGAAATCCCTCCAAAGTGAGGAATCCCTGTCACTAGCATCCCCATTGAAAGATTTCTCTTCTATTTCTGTTCTGGTGATAACGCAACATTTGGGATTTTTTTGCACTTTCACTCTTAGTTATAACAGTAAAGAAATCAAATCAAATAGAGATTGTTTCCTAACTGGGGCATAGACAGTAATTAAAATCTGTCACGTTCTCTAATTCCTCTGCATAATCTAAAGCTAAAAAAGTTCTGCCTTTACAGTGGGGATCGAAAGTTTGGGCACCCCAGCTAAAAATTTGTATTAATGTGCATAAAGAAGCCAAGGAAAGATGGAAAAATCTCCAAAAGGCATCAAATTACAGATTAGACATTCTTATAATATGTCAACAAAAGTTAGATTTTATTTCCATCATTTACACTTTCAAAATAACAGAAAACAAAAAAATGGCGTCTGCAAAAGTTTGGGCACCGTGCAGAGTTAATATCCTGTACTGCCCCCTTTGGCAAGTATCACAGCTTGTAAACGCTTTTTGTAGCCAGCCAAGAGTCTTTCAATTCTTGTTTGAGGTATCTTTGCCCATTCTTCCTTACAAAAGTCTTCCAGTTCTTTGAGATTTCTGGACTGTCTGTCACGCACTGCTCTTTTAAGGTCTATCCATAGATTTTCAATTATGTTGAGGTCAGGAGATTGTGAAGGCCATGGCAAAACCTTCAGTTTACGCCTCTTGATGTAATCCCCCGTGGATTTCGAGGTGTGTTTAGGATCATTATCCATTTGTAGAAGCCATCCTCTCTTTAACTTCAGCTTTTTCACAGATGGCATCAAGTTACCATCCAAAATTTGCTGACATTTTATTGAATCCATTTTTCCTTCTACTCGTGAGATGTTCCCTGTGCCACTGGCTGCAACACAACCCCAAAGCATGATTGATCCAACCCCATGCTTAACAGTTGGACAGAGGTTCTTTTCATTAAATTCTGTGCCCCTTCTTCTCCAAACGTACCTTTGCTCATTCCGGCCAAAAAGTTCAATTTTAACCTCATCGGTCCACAGAACTTGTTTCCAAAATGCATCAGGCTTGTCTTGTTCATTTGCAAAGTTCAAACGATGATTTTTGTGGTGAGGACGTAGAAGAGGTTTTCTTCTGATGACTCTTCCATGAAGACCATATTTGTACAAGTATCTCTTTATAGTGGAATAGTGTACCACAACTCCAGTGTCTGCCAGATCTTTCTGGAGGGATCGTGCAGTCAAACGTGGGTTTTGAATTGTTTTTCTCACAATCCTGCGAGCTGTTCTGTCTGATATTTTTCTT